CCATGTTCCCCTGCCCACAGACCCTGATTGGCTAGGGGGTGGGGGAGCAAGTGATGTCTTTGTCCCCTGCCCCAAGCACCTAGAGAGAACCACCAGCTGTTCTGAACAGCTGGCGGTTCCCTCTAGGCGCTGTGCTCCTGGCAGGGGGAAGAGACTTTTTTATGCTCCCATCTCCCCAGATTTCAATTGGCCTGGGGGTAGGGGAGCAGCAGAGTGGCCACAGACTGCATCAACCAGCTTGGTCGGCTGGACATGGCCCAACACGACTGTCTTGATCATCCCTGGTTTACATATTAACACATTTTAATGCTGGACAGACGAGGTTGGCCTGGTAATATCTTTCGCTAAAGAAGAGCTTTGTAAAATTCAAAAGTGTGTCCCTTCTACCACTGGAACGTGGTCCAGTGAGAGAGATTATTTCACTAACCTTGTTTCCCTCATAACCTGGGACTAATATGGCTATAACACTATAAACATTCTAACACTATGTATTTTGCAAGTATAGACAGAGATCTTCCATCTTTGCCACCGTTAGTGAAACTGCAATAGCAGGGCATTTTAGGTCAGAAACTAGTCAAGATGTAGCCAGATAACTGAAGCCTTCAAGTACCCTATTGAGATGAAAGGAAGCAGTTCACACACAAATTAAATCAGAACTTGAGGCAGAAACCTGGTCTGCCAGTCCTTGATAGGCGGAAGGAAAGGGGATGTTAAAACTATACCCAAGTACATTAATAATGAAGATCAATGCTCAATGTGTACAGCAAACTTGGACCTAAACTTCATAGGAAATAAAACATTGTAGTACTTTTCTTGAGCAAAAGTTCTTCTTAATTAACATGGTCTTGAAACTTCCAAACAATATGAAAAATCTGTGTTGTAGATGGTTGATAATCTAAAAACAGCTGAATTTACAAAGGAAACTTGTTTGATTTCCCCACATGTCTAGACCAAATTCCCCAGTACTTCAGTCAGAAGAGCATAGTCTCCAGTGAAGTAATTATAAGGCTTTTCAAAAGATACTCAATGTTTACATTTGTACCTTGGTTTAAATCAATGACCATCAAGTCAGTTAGCAGTGTCATTAAGTAAATGCCCCACTCCAGGAATTGTATGTTTACTGTTGACAAGATTAGTATTCCTGAAGACAACCTATAGTCAACATGATTAATTCAGCCAACCGAGGAGTGCTCTTCCAACTCTGAGTGGCAGTGACTAGGTTGGTATAACTTGGGTCAGTCAGGGGTGTGGATTAGTCACACCCCATGAGCAACAGAAATTATACCTATGTAATTTGTAGTGTAGACACAGCCGAAGCATATTAGCCTTCAAAACTGCACTATTCATACAGTTCTAGGAATAAACCTAATTTTCATGACAAAGATGATTGCATATTTCAGCCTGTGTGGCAGTTGATCACGACATGCAAGAAGATCACAAACTAGATGCAATGTAAAAGCTACACAACTAATTTGACAAGTGCCAGAAATGTCAAAATGAATGCTGACACTCTTAACTTTATTTCTGAATTTCCAGCACTTTCTGTCACAGGTTATTACTAGGGATGAGAAAGTGTAACCGTATATATGGTTAACCGATGAGCGTGGGCATGGTTACACACAGCCCCACCCTCCTGTTGCTGCCTTTGTATTAGGGATGTTAACTAGCAATTAATTTACTAGTTGAGTAGTGGATGGAATTTCCATCCACTACTCGACTAGTTGATAAGCACTGCCGAGTTCCACTGGGGCTCTTGTACATTTCAAAGTTGGTATGTCACATGGAGCCAAGGGCCAGTGGGAAGTCTCTCTGACTCTAGGCTCCATGCGGGTGTTCCCCAGTGGGGGCTCTTTTGCATTTCAAAGTGGAAGTGCCTGCATGGAGCCTGGGGTCAGCGGGGGACTCAGAGTCCCACACTGGCCCCAGGCTCCATGCAGGTACTTCGTTTTTTGAAATGCACAAGAGCCCCCATTGGGGACTCTTGTACACTGCAAAGCTGGCTCTCCACACAGAGCTCGGGGTCAGTGTGGTGCTGCCGCTTTGAAATGCCACTGGAACCTGGGGTCAGCTGGAGAGTTCATGGGCTTAGTGCGGCGCTGCTGCTTTGAAATGCTGGGTGGAGCCTAGGATCAGATCCTGGGCTCAGCGGGGCATTTCAAAGTGGCAGAGCTGCTTGGAGCCTGGGATCAGCTGGGGACTCCATGTGGTGCTGCCACTTTTAAGTACCCTTCTCTTGTGTCCCCGTCCTCCCCCCATCCTTGCTTCCTCTGTCCGATTTGCTTATTGGATAGTTGTCTAGTCCTTTACATCCCTACTTTGTATCAGAGGCAACAGCATTGAGTGGGGGGGGGGGCTATGCAGGAGCTGGTGCTTGTAGGGAACTGGCTTAAAAGCCATATCCTTGCGTGCACCAGTTCCCAGGTAGCCACAGGTCTTTCTCCACCCCTCCCCTTTGTGTAACCGCTGAAATTTTCAGCAGTTGCACACTTACTTGAATAAATGTGTTTTTAACATGCCTAGTTATTACAAAGATGACATGTTGTTGGTGGGGGGGGGGGGTTGTTGTCTCAAATACTTGGTCTGGAATTTCCAACTGTGTTTCTTTCAACAGCTTTTGGTGAAATAAGATGCATAAACTTTTTTGTGAAGTTGATATTTTCTGTTTTTATTGTTAGTTGCATCAGGAAACAGGAACACATGCATGTGCTTTAATTGATGGCAAAGGTCAGAATAGTTGCTAAAGGTTTAATGGACTTTATGCAGTTTGCCAAAAGCATGTCTCATGCTACATAAAAATTGAACCCAAGTTGCAAAGTTTTTGTTAAAAGGCTTCATGAGAAATTATAAATCCCTTGAGGATGCTTCCTGAGGACCCTTGTTTGATTTCCTTCCCATCCAGCTCTCAGCTGAAGTGTACAGTTTTTCCATTTCTGTAACTAGCCAAAGATCTTGTGGACTTTAATTTGTGAACATCTAATTTTTAAACCGAACTGGTCCTGGGGGGGAAATGATGTCACAAGCTGCACCAGCAAAACTTCTGGATCTTGAATATTTCCCCCACATGCCACACATGGATTCCAGTCTGAGCAAGCCTCTGATCCCAGTATACTGCATAGGCTTGATTAAATGCAGTGCTCCACGGGGATCCTCCAAGAGTCTCTTCAGCTCCCTTCTTACAAATTATGGTTTTGAACGACCAATAGTCAGTTCTCACGTACAAAGGAAAAAGATAGGGTGGGGGAGAGAGCAACTTGCTATACACCCTAAACTGCCATTGGCTGTAAACTTAAAAAAAAAAAAAAAGTCTTGAAAGCTTTAGGGTTTTTGTTTTGTTTCAAAGAAGCAAGTTACAAGTCCAGAAAATTCAAAATTCAACTTCCTTTCAAGTTTCAGATATTTCCTGAAAAAGCTCTCCCCAGATATCCTCTGTCTATCCAGATATTTTAACTCTCCATAATTTATTGCATGCACATTTTCTGAATTAATAAGATATTACATCTCCATACTTTAAATCTCCTAGGTTGATAGTACAAACCATGTGCTACTGCCATTTCATATGTGTCCCTGTGTCCTAGGCAGCAAACTACCCAGAACCTCTGCTGCACTCAACTGCAAGAAGGCAGTATCCCTGTTTTGGCATTGATAACTTGGAAGTTATGCACTGTAGGGGTTTGAATTGAAAACCCATCAGTACATAAGTTAAAGCTGTTTGAAGGGCAACTGACAGTTTTGATAGTTCGGTCTTCTGACCTACAGAGATACACAGTAGGTGTGGACAGCTGTTTCCAGGCATCTTTTTGTGGTGGGATGACTGTGGAGGTCTAGTCTTTCCACTGGCCAAACAATCTGCTACATAATGGAACACCTGCCTGCTGCTGACACAGTTGATGGGTGCCTGTTCAGATGTTTACCTTGAGGGTGAATATTTATTATTATACTTAAATTTTCATTTGCACTTTACACCTGAGAAGAATGAGTGGCAGACTCTCCTCGTCCTGATTCATACTAAGCATAGTGTTTGAATTCTGTCTAGGCCCCCACTATCCTCAAAACGCTTCCTTGAGGTGAGCGGGAACTTTTTGTGATGGTGCAGTCACAGGAGTTCCCTTGGTACTATTCCCTGATGTGCTGATTGTGCCACTCTGGGTGTCCTGCTGGGCCAGATCTTCTGGTCTTCCCCAGGCAAAGCACAGAATTGGAGAAACCACCCCCTGCAAAGCAGTGCAGATACTGAATCACTTCAGCTTTGGGACAGTGCAGTTTTAGAGCACAGCACCCAGGAAACCAACCCTCTTCCCAAATAAATTAAGGAAATCTTGAGGATGTTTGCTCTTTATCAATGAAAGAAAGAGATGCAAACTGGTCATTTCTCCAAGGTAACACCTGTCCTGATTTAAAAAAAAAAAAGTATTCTTATTAGGTATTCTTATTAAGTGTAAACAGTAAGATTTAAGTGGTTTCAAGTGCAAACAGGCAGATCAAAGTAAGTTACTAAATTATATTGAAAAGCAAATGCGTAACTAGTTCTAACTAAGGCTGTTAAGGACAAGTTGACTTCTCTCTTCTCTCTCTCTGTCCCCCTCCCCCTCCCCCCATCAGATAGGCAGCAAAGGGGAGGGAGTAGAAGGGCTACTTCAAAGCAGCAGCACTGCACAGCTAAGCTGGGGATCACTTTGAAACCCCAAGGCAGCATTTCAAAGGGGCAGCATCAATGACTCTGGGTTCTGGGGAAATGCTAAATGGAGCAGCACAGTGTAGAGCCTGGGGTCAGTGGGGGACTCTGAGTCCCCCACTGACCCCAGGTTCCATGAGGCGCTATGGCTTTGATATGCACATGAACCCCTGCTGGGGACTCTTGTACATTTCAAAGCAGACACGCTTGCATGCAGTCCAGTCCGGAGTCAGCAGGACTTCCCCAGCGGGGGCTCCTGTGCATTTCACAGGAGGAATGCGGAAGTGTCTATCAACTAGTCGATGGAATTTGTCGACTAGTCAGTTAACCTCCATTTAACATCCTTAGTTCTAACTCACTAAAAATGTACTGCAAGCAGATTCTTACCTTAACGTGTTGTTCTTATTTCAGGCATCATCTTTGACTTGAAGACTGTCTTTTACTCTGACTTGGGTCTCCTGCCTTCTTTGTATCTTTTTGGTGTGTGCCAGGCCAGCCAAAGACAAAGGAATGATAGTCTCCCATTGCTTAAATAGACCTTTTCCCTGGCTGGGAACTCTTTGTTCTACATCCCCCTTTCCTTGGAGAATATACCAGGGTCAAAATGGAATCCCAGTACCAGATGGTATGATCACTTGTCTTACTAGTCAGATCACCTTTGGACTTACAGGACAAACAAGGCAGTTTACAAGTTAAGTTGTGCTCTCAACAATCTGGTGATTCAGTAATGGCTCTCATTAGCACATTTAAAACAACAAGCAGTCTCATACTTCATATTTTAAATGTCGCATACAAGAATGTTACATGCACCAAAATAAGATATACAGATCCAGACCATTATAACATTAAAATTGATAGGTTACATGAGGTATTTTGCTCTAAGCATCTGAGTTTTGCATATTCATAACCCAATTTTCATAAAGCATGGAGGAGAACCGTCACTGTTTTACCCCCTGAAGTGAAGCATAGGCTATGTGACTTGTTCAAGGTCATCCAGTCCATGGAAGAGTTGCCTT